TGTTAGTTCGTGCAGGGCTTGAACTTCACTGAATCATCAAATACAACAGCCTTGTTGCCAAAAGAGTTTGCATTGGTGCCTTTCGATAATTTTGCTTATATTATTCCTATTTTGGGGTGCCATTCGATATTGAAGTTCAAGCCCTGCTTGCATGCATACATGGAAAATATGAACTAAATATAAAAATCAAGCTATTGCAGCCAGCTTATTTAATGAAGCCCATAAAACATGGAAAAACTCAGCCTGTGCATCTTGTTAAAAAGGATTTCACTAACTTTTTAAGTTGCAAATGATGGTGGGTGATCTTGGAATTATTTTCCCTAAATCATCTATGCAGCCACATACATAATGTGTCCACATACTTTTTTTCAAAACAGAGAGAATTGCTCAGATCTGAAAACATCTTAAACTGCTTTTTCTAGACTTGTCCAGAGAGGGACTGCGAGCAAAGTTGCGAAATCGTTCTCAGTTCATTCAGACAGTTTTTTAGTTGAAATATAGTATTATAAAGTCAAACGCATATATCTTGACTCATTCACATAATTCTATAATAGTTTTTCATATTCAAAAAATCAACTTAAAATTTAGAAAACTAGAATAAACTTTGAATTTAGACTACATAGCATTCATCATATAATACATTTAAAAATATTTTAGTTTAATTTGCCTTGATGCACTCGTGTCTGATTTTGCTTCATACAAGCACTCCTCTTCTAGGGCAGGGTGACATATGAAACTTTTGAAATCAATTCGCATGAAATTTTGTAGCAATGAAAGTATCTCTGGGGTTTTACGACAAAGTATCACTAATTTTGTCGTACTTTTGTCTTCACGAATTTTATGAAATCATATCGCAAAAGTTCCATAGCAAAGAAAATTTAGCGCTGTACAGTATTTGACCTGACTTGATGTGTGGTCTGTGTATTTTACAGTCCTGAAACCTATAGTGGTAATATATATACTGAAAATGCACAGATTTCAAGAATTGGCCAGTGAAAACAATGAGTACTATTGTAATTTTATACATTTACATGGATTTTGTTTCGCAGATTTCACAAAAATAGCGAAATTAAAACCTAGTGAAAATGAATGCATTTACAGTCTATCAATAGCACAGACAAATATTTAAACTAACCACCACAATATTAAAGTAAAATCAAGGCTAATCATTACAGAATGCACAGCAAGAATGTCAGTTTTCAATTTTAAACACAGAATTTCACCTTGATGCAAATAAGCAGGAAACAAGTAATTTCATGAACTCACAGACGTGCTTACCACTGCTTCATCATCACAGCATGCCGCGCAGGTACATGATGTGGCATGGGGTTGTAAAATACCTTCTTCAATTAAGCACTGTAATGTTCTACCGCCATAGCGGATACTGCGCTTCCAGTCTTTACTGTTCCCTCGCCCGCAAAGAGCTTCAAATTCTGATGGAGTATACCACTGGTCAGCCATTTTCACGCAGCGACCTCGGCCACCTACAAATATTGATATATTCAAGATATTCAAGTCTATTGCAGTTTCACCATAGCCTTTTGAGTGCAGTAGGAGAAATATTCACCAGGTTTTAAATTCACTGCTTTGTGAAAAAAAAACAAAACAACATTTGCAGGGGTTCTTTCAAAGAAGGGAACAGTGGCACAGCGCCCTCATACCCCAGGCTTGCGCCCTCTTACAGAACCTTGAACAGTCAGTAGATTATAGACCACTTTCCTGGAAGTAGCAAAACTTGGGTGCAAAAAGACTAAAGATGCTTTGTCATGACGGAAAATACACCAGTGTAGGAAATTCCTGCCCGTCCGCACGCCCGAGACGGGTAACTTTCGTATCGGACTGGTTGAATTTCAAACTTCCCTGTCCGG